TGGGCAGAGAGACCATTTGTCGCATGCATGATATGACTCCCTGTGTTCTGCCACGAAGAAGAAAAACACGACCTGAATTGGCTCGTTTGTATTCATCCGAGGCTCGGGATTCACACATTGGGCTGGCGAGTGTGGTGGGATCGCAGACTGGTTGATCCTACTCGGTACAATCACCGACGAGTCCTGGCCGCCTCGCGTCGTCGTGCGCACCAGGGTGGTGTACCTCAATACGGCAGGCCAGAGAGCAGCAGGGCCAAAACAGCTAGACGCAAAACGCCTCGTCGTTTGGCACTCGCTGGCTCTCTTCATGTCTTCCTCCCGTCAGTGGAGTGGCGACGTTGAGGACGACGGCGTCCGTGCCCTCATGAAAAATTGCAGGCTGCCCAGGCGTGTGGCGTGGCGTGGCGTGCCTGATTTTGAGGTACTTCTTCGCTGGATGAGGTAGGTAAGGAGAGGTAGGGCTACCCCGAGTGGGATAAAGTGGGGGAAAGACACGATGCACGCCTCTCGAGGCAGGCAGGCCATCAAGGGATGACGAGAACGGGCAGTGCAGGCAGTGCAGGCAAGGCCAACCAAGGAGCGAGGCCAACAACGCGCAAGGCAGGGCAGGAATGACAAGGCAGGAATGACAAGGGCAGACAGGAAGAAGCAACAAGAGGCGGCGCCTGGTGAAGCCTAGTCTCCAGCTACAGCGCACCTGAGCCTGTGGCTCCGCTGTAGAACGGCACGACAGGGAACTTGGGCTCCCCCAAATCGGGCCCCTGGCGCGGGCGCCTGCCTCCCCCGCTTCCCTTCATCAGGCGCAGCACCATCACCACAGGTAGGAGGTAGGTAGGTAGGTAGGTAGGTAGGTAGGTACGGGCAGGCAGACACACCACCACACCACTCCCGTCAACAATCCCGTTGGCTCACAGGCACACCACGGCACACGCGACCTCGCCCCAGACTCCCGAGTGATTTTGCAGCCTCGGGAAAAATTCAAACCCTCTGGACCACCCTTTCGTCATTCAGGCCCAACCTCACCTGTCTTCGTACCATTCGTGACTTGATCCTCTCGTACCCCGTCTTGACGATCCGAAGCACCTCCTACCCTGCAGGGCCTGGCCGCGACAGCTCTGATCGAACAGTCCACACGCCTTGTCGCTCCCACGAAGCTGCTCAGCCAAAACCACCAGCTGCGACCCGGATACCCCGCTCCTGCCGAATCTGCGCGATCTAGAACTTTGCTGCCGAGTACGCCTGCCCATACCGCCCTCCACCTCACCAGTTTCACACAATCTGACAACCCTCCTTGCTCCCTCCCCTCCGTCCCTACTATCCCACCCACCTCACCACCTCATCACCTCACCACCTTACCACCTTACCACCTCACCACCCCTCCCCCTTCCTCTTCCTCGGACGGGTCTTTTTTTTTTCTGCTTCCACGATCGAAATCCCGTTTGAGATACCCCGCGACGACCTTACTCTGGCCCGCGCCTCCACTCCCAGGACTCCTCTCTCTCTCTCTCTCTCTCAACGCTCACACTCTCTCCCTCTTTCCTCCCACCTCGCTCAATCCCTCATCCCTCAAGCACCCTCAACTCGCCACGCCCGCTCCACTCCGTCAACGACGCCTTCTTGCTACCCAGCCATCATGGGTCAGACTCTCTCCGAACCCGTTGTCGAGAAGGTATGTCGTCTTCCCTCCTGCCCGCCTCTGCCCTGAGCGCGACTTGTCACGGTCCCCTTTCCAAAGGCCCAAAACCTCGGCACCACGCTTTGCACGTCGTGTTCCAAAGAGCCTGGCGCCCCCCTTCCCCCCTCCCCCAGTTGCATCATTTCGCGTCGCGGGGCTTTCTGGCCAAGCCCACATCCCACCTGCAGCCACACAACAAGTCGCGCCCTCGCGAACCCCTCAACGCTTCCAAACGCACACGAACTGCCATGCACATTCCCCATCACTTCTTCTGCGTCCTGGAGCAAACCGCTGACTGGTCTTTGTGTGTTTCTTGCCTGACAGACTTCGGATACCGGCGAAGATGCGCGCCTCATCTACGGTGTCTCTGCCATGCAGGGCTGGCGGATAAGCATGGAGGACGCCCACAGCACCAAGCTCGACCTCCTCCCTCCCGGCAGCGATGAAGCGAAGCAGCACGCCTCCCGGCTCTCCTTTTTTGCAGTCTACGACGGTCATGGCGGTGATAAAGTAGCCTTATTTGCTGGCGACCAGCTGCACGAGATTGTCCGCAAGCAAGAGACCTTTAAGAAGGGCAACTATGAACAGGCGCTGAAGGATGGCTTCCTGGCCACGGATCGTGCTATCCTCAACGGTAACAGAAAAATTCTCGCGCACCCGGTCAAATCGGCACTCAGCTGATTTCTTCGTGCGCCACTGCAGATCCCCGCTACGAAGAGGAGGTCTCTGGTTGCACCGCCTGCGTCAGCCTCATCAACGATGACAAGATCTATGTCGTGCGTCTCACCCCTCTCCGAGCCCCTCCCGCACAGCGCTTTTTCGCTTGCTTCACCACCGGCACCCAGCGCCGTCCAAGCCGCATCTGCTAAGATTTTCCAATAGGCCAACGCTGGTGACTCGAGGGGTGTTCTGGGTATCAAGGGCCGCGCCAAGCCCCTGTCGCAAGACCACAAGCCCCAGCTCGAAGGTGAGCATCTCAGCGGCTGCCGCACTGACACTTTTGGGAGAAGGATTTGGAACTGACGATTTGGGGGATTCATCCCCTCTGCCTCTTTAGCCGAGAAGTCCCGCATCACCGCCGCTGGTGGTTTCGTCGACTTTGGTCGCGTCAACGGCAACCTTGCCCTGTCGCGTGCCATTGGCGACTTTGAATTCAAGAAGAGCGCCGAGCTCTCTCCTGAGGCGCAAATCGTCACCGCCTTCCCCGACGTCGAGATTCACGACATCACGGATGACGATGAGTTCCTGGTCCTTGCTTGCGATGGTAAGCCGAGAAACTGATTCGTCGTGCCTGCATCTCCGACGAACCGTCGCTGACTCGTATTCTGCTCTCAGGTATCTGGGATTGTCAGAGCTCTCAGGCTGTGGTCGAGTTCGTCCGCCGCGGTATTGCCGCCAAGCAGCCCCTGGACAAGATCTGCGAGAACATGATGGACAACTGTCTGGCGTCCAACTCGGAGACTGGTGGTGTCGGCTGCGATAACATGACCATGACGATTATTGGTCTCTTGCGCGGCAGAAGTAAGGAGGAGTGGTACGAGGAGGTTGCCAAGCGGGTTGCTGCCGGTGACGGACCATGCGCTCCTCCCGAATACGGTACGACATCATCATCACCCAAATCGTCCTAGAGCAATGAACGGGGACACCAGCCAGCCCCATGCATATCCTCCTGAAGCCACTGCCCTTCATGACTTCTCGATTCCGTTGCACCCATTCTCTACCACTTGTTGAGGGGACACCCTGGCTGATCTGATCGCGTGCCTCCACAGCGGAATTCCGGGGACCCGGTGTTCACCACAACTTTGATGACAGTGAGGGCGAGTACGAGGTGGATCAGGAGCAGAAGGGCGGCAAGAACTTTGGCATCAGTGGCTACAAGGGCCGTATCATCTTCCTCGGCGACGGTACCGAGGTTCTCACCGACTCTGACGACACGGAAATGTTTGACAACGCCGAGGAGGACAAGGACCTCGAGAGCCAGGTTTCCAAGGGCTCCTCCGCGGCGTCCTCCCAGGACGGCGAGGCCACCAAGACCGAGGGTGACTCCAAGGCTGACGCATCAAAGTCTATCGACGAATCCAAGCCCGCCACGACCGCATCGGATGTCAAGGCCGCCGAGTCTGCGCAAAGCGAGCCGAAGGAGGAGGCCAAGGCCTCCGCCTAGATTCAGGCTTCCCCTTGATGCGAAGAGAAAGCGACACACTAAGGAACAGCGGAGCGTTTGGCATAAATGGCTTGGCATGACGAGATATGAATGGGGTGGGCATGGGCGAGTCTACTCGGGACTGGATGAGTGCTAATGGCCCGGCGGCAGCGGACGGGCCGGCTGGGAGATGTTTTCTATTGTTTTCTTCTTTCATCGCGCTGGGTGCAAGGGAGGTTTTGAACTTCGACTCCGACTCTGGGCGTCGTCCAGAACGGGATGATTTGGGACCGGGGGGGGCGGGGCGGCGGTAGACAGGACCGGAGCAGCGGGCGCGTAAGAAAGTCGTCGAGATACCGACCCTGCTTGCTATCGTCGTGTTGAGCTTTATTTGGCGGCAGCAGTATGTGTCGATATCACGAAATCCACTTGCATAACGAAACTCGGGGGCATTCCGTGCGTGTGTGCAAGACGTTGGCCGAGGGTTTGTCTGCAAACAGTTTCGGCGGGCCGGTCCGTTCTACTCGCTGTGCTGCCTGTGTTCATGAGCTACATTACAGGAAGGCGACGGATGCAATCCAGTAAAAAGGTGTGAATGCTCTGAGTATGGTAGGTATTGTAACAGTATGGTACAGGTCATGAAAATCTACAAGGCCGCCATGCATTCGACAGCGCAAGCGGGCCGTCTATTCTATCCATTTACACCCAGGCCGCGCCGTATAGTCGCCTTGGCAGGGGGGGGGGGGGGGGGGGGGGGGGTGTCCTGCATTGGTAGAACGCCCGCCCCTCATCTGTTTGTTTTTTAACGGGGCGGTTGAGGAATGGGCGGGGGAAAGGTCTAGTATTACCCTACTGCCCCCCAAAGCCGGGTGGCCGAAGTCCATAATTCGAAGGCCCCCGTAATCAGGAAGCGTCACCCCACTCTACTCTAG